TTCAGAAGCTATGTGGAGTTAAGGTGAGGACAGGTATAAAGCCCAACTCATACACATGGACATCACTAACAGTCTTCCACTCCTTTACCTATGAGTAAAGCCAGAAAGCATAGGACCATTCACCTCCCCTTACATCTTTGTGTTTTCTCACAGAAATAAGATTTTTTGCTTTGGGATTGTGACCTTAGTTCTTGAGAGAGAAATTCCCAACCTGGCATTTAACAAGGAGAATACTGAGGCAGTCCTCCAGCAATATGGCCCACACTGCATGTGATCACCTTTGCAGTTGCCCTTGTGCCCATGTGATGTATTCTCATTGCCTTTTGTTCAATTAAAAGGACCTGGACACCACTTGAGAGAGCGTGACTCAGGCCAGCAGAGAGTAATATCTGCAGGAGAACTTGGGCACCTAGAGTGAGTTCAGTAGAGGCTGTCTATTGCAGAACATTAAGAACCATGCAGTCTACCTCCCTCTCACTGTCCTGCATGAAGGCCCCATATTTTCCTTGAATGCTGGAGCCCAACGGAGAGACAGGTCTGACTCACTGCCTGCTGGATATACTCCAGGGACTAGGAGGCCAAGGTCTTGGTTTGAAGAACTGCCCTCATGTAAACCAGCAGACAATCCTCTGCCAGGTTCAGAATTTTACATTGAGGTGCATATGATGAAATGGTACCATGTGCTCCACAACTCCACATCGCTCAGCACTACACACCCCACCAGCACCACAGAGACTCAGATTCACTCAGCATCTGGTGCCTTCTAGAATTGTTCCCTCATTGTTAGGATTCAGTCAATAGACACAAGAGGGGGACAGGAATCTATTTGGCCCTAAAGCTAGAAAGGGAAGACCAGGAGTAATACATAAGGGAGCTGGCAAGAGGAACATTGTCAGCTGAAACTGCTTCCCTGCTTTCTCTCCCACAGGCCTAGGAGTCATCATTGAGCTGCACTCCACCCTCTGACTAGCTATCCCCAACAACAGCCAGGATGCCTTATACTCAGAGGACCCTTCCCTCTGAGCTTGAAAGAGGTCTTGTGGCCCAAAGCCAGGCCACAGGCCGGGTGTGGGAGCAATTCCCCCAAGACCATGAAGAGATCTCAGCCACTTCTCTGTTGTTTGGAATTCTAGTGGAGGTGTCAGTTACTTTGCTCCTGAGTGAGTTATTTGGGGAAAATAATGAGGATGATCAAGAACCCCACAATCAGGAAAGGGCAGATGTGCACCCTGACGATGATGAGATATTGCAGAATGCTCTGCAGAAAGAGGCCCTAGCATTGGTGCGATACCTGTTACGTCAGTACAATTCATGCCAGCCTGTTACTGATGTGGATATGCTGAGTCGCATCACGGGAGGTTACCGGCCTCACTTCCCTGTGATCTTAGACAAAGCTTGTATATGTATGCAGCTACTGTTCGGTATTGACGTGAAGGAGGTAGACACTCTTTTCCACACGCATGTACTTGTTATAGCCGCAGGTATCACCTACGATGGTGTTCTGAGCCATGTGCAGGGCATGCCCAAGACCGGTCTGCTGATAATTGTTCTCTGCATCATCTTCACGGAAGGGGGCTGTGCCACCGAGGAAGCCATCTGGCAAGTGCTGGATAAGATGGAAGTGTATCCTGACAGTGAACACGTTATTTTTGGAATACCTAGGAAGCTGCTTATGGACGATTTTGTATATGAGCAATACCTGGAGTATCACCAGGTGCCTGGTAGCGACCCCATTGCCTATGAGTTCCGGTGGGGCCCAAGGGCTTATGCAGAAACCACACAAAGGAAAGTCCTGGAACACTGGGCCAAGTACAGCGGGATTGACCCAAGCTCCATCCCTACACTGTATGAGGAAGCTTTACAGGAAGAACAGGGAGCAAATACCAACGATAGCACTTTAATAAAAGAGTGACTCTTCCTCATTTGAACTCAGGAAACTGGTTCCACCTTAACATCCCAGTGAACCAGCGATTTACTTGGGAGTGGTTGAAATGTCAAGTGAAATAAATTACAATATAGAGAAGCTTGTTGTGAATACTTGCCTCAAACATTTTCTCTGTGACACACACAAAAAAACATATACGTTGTCTTGATTTGGGTTGGATATGTGTGTATTTATACTAGAAACTACATGTTAACAACACGTCCCACAACTCAATAGCTGTTTCTTCTGCAAATCCTTGTTTTAGCATCTGTTCTTGGTAATATCTTTAATTAACACACAAGTTGGTATAGGGGTTTAGGCTACAACCTTATGAAGAAAATATGAAGTGAAATGAACTAAGAAAATTGAAGGAAGAGGTTTTTTTTCTTTGTTTCTTTGTTTTTCTTTTCCTCTTGTTTGTTTATTAAACTTTGGGATGTTAAGCACCTGAACTGAAAGGGTGGGACAAAACGTGAACAAGTGCAACAGTGTAACTCATATCCACACTATATTGAATGAGTTATACAACTTCTGCGTGGGTTTGGGAGGGATAGACTGGGAGAGAGCATGAGAAGGCGATATTTTCTAGGAAAAAACGTACTCTATCTGCCTTATACATATACTGCAACCCCTCGGCACATCACCTTTAGAACAATATAAAATTGCACAGAAAGAAAAGTTTTGTGGGCCATCAATGGCTCATGCCGGTAATCCTACTCAGGAGCCTGTGAACTGAGGTGGAAGTTTGAAGCCAACCTCAGCAGTGAGCTCTTGAAGGTTCATGTCTCCAATGAACCACCTAAAAGCTGAAAGTAGAGCTGCAAGTATAAAAGGTCAGGTACAGTGCCCAGGCCCTGAGTTCAAGCCCAGGACTGGCACACACAAAAATACAAAGAGCTATCATTTGCAGAAAAAGAGGTGTGAAAGAAGCCAAATTAAGAATGAACAATATCGCATCTTTTCTCCAATATAAAGAACCTTCTTCCTCACCAATAAAACACAAAAGAGACCAATTCAAATGTAAACCAGGGACTCTCTTAGGGAGGACATGTCATGGCAAGGGATGGCTCTATGATAGGGTGAAATTTGAGTATTATAGAGACCATCCACACACGAATATATGAAAATAGCCTAATTAAGCCCACGTTAAAAAACATTTAAAAACTTAGAACAGCGACTTAAATGGAGAAGCAGCTGGCAGAGTGAAAATGATCTGGCTTTTGACAGACTATCATCTGTCATCCTAGGACTTTCTTCACAATTACATGTTGAAAAGTGACTTCTAGGAAGTGGCACTGTGGCTCAAGCGGCAGAGCACTAGTCTTGAGCTGAAGAGCTCAGGGTCAGCACTCAAGCCCAGAGTTGAAGCCCCACAACCTACCAATAAAATAAAAATTTAAAAAAATTAGAAAAAAATGACTTCTAATGGGGGAAATTTTCCTGAATTCTATGACAGTTCATTTTGCTTTCCTGTTCTCCTGAGCTCCAGGTCCTCTGTTATGTCCTACAGAAGAGTGACATGAACAACATCCCAGTGTGGAAAGCACTGGGATCAAATACCATTAGAAATGACTGTCTCTGCCCTTCACTACAGCTCCAGCACTCACAAGCACACAATTCACTTTTTTTTTTGTCAGTCATTGGGGCTTGAACAGAGCTTGGGCGCTGTCCCTGAGCTCTTCAGCTCTAGGCTAGTGCTCTACCACTTAAGCCTTAGCAGCCACTTCTGGCTTTTTCTGCTTATGTGGTGCTGAGGAATTGAACCCAGAGCCTCATGCATGTGAGGCAAGCACTCTACCACCAAGCCACCTTCCCAGCTCCCATAATTCACTTCTTGAAGATAGCAGAGGAAGGCCACAGACACACACTGCTGCTGCTCAAGTTGAGGGTATAGGAAAGGACTGAGATGACCTGTACAGGGCTAGGCCCTCCCTTGCTGTGAGCCTTGAGAGGCACTGTGAAAGAAGACCAGGCAGCTGCTTTGTGACTTTTATGAACCCCCCATCACCTTCACCAGCAGCAGTGGCTGAGGGAGTTATGGAGATTCTCACCTGACCACAAACCTAGGTGAAAACAGAGATTCAGATAGGTCCATGACGTTTGTCCACAGGAGATGATCTGTGTCTTCTTATCCTCTGCTTCCATGTGGGTCACTACAATGATGTCAGATTCCTATACTTAAGGACACTAGATCAACTCCAGTCCTCAGGTTCTCTGAGGCTGAAGGAAGACATGGTTAGAGAATAATGGTGTTCCATTGACTAGATGATCCTGGTAGACAAGTGAACACCTGAGTGCAGCTGAAATAACTAAGGACCTGGGGCTGGGAAGGTGGCTCAGTGGTAGAGCACTTGCCTTGCATACATGAGGCCCTGGGTTTGATTCCTTAGCAACAAATAAGTAAAAAGAAAAAAGCCGGAAGTGGTACTATGGCTCAAGTGGTTGAGTACTAGCTTTGAGCTGAAGAGCTAAGGGACAGCACCCAGGCCCAGAGTTCAGGCTCCACGACCGGACCCCCCCCCCCACAAAAAAATAACTAAAGACCATCCCCCTGTATTCCAGGGCTCTTCTGCTTACACACCAGAACCTTCTCTTACCTTCACCCCACAGAGAGAGCAATCACTTCCCTTCAAGGACCTCAGACCAAGACTGTGACCTCCAAGTTTCCCTTGGACCAGTCTAGCTCCATTCTTTCTACAAGTCTTGAAAGTGTCAGTGTAGGGTGACCAGGCAGCTGAATCCTGATTTCTGCATGTGGCTTTGGTAGATCGAGCCGTGCCTCCACAGAAGACTGGTGTATGATAGTCTAAGGTGGCCAGGTGATATGAGGCAGAACTGAGTCTCCCAGATCCAAAACAGATGCAATCTTTCAAAATCTCTGACTCTTACAGAACAACATCTATATGTTTATATAAACTTTTCTAACAAAGCACATTAGCAGGGCCATGTCTCTCCAAGGCTTGCTTTTTAGCAAGCCACAATAGCATAACAATTGACCTTTTAAACCTTCAGATGAAGGAAGGGAGGATGTTACCTGATTCTATTATCTTAATCCACCAGGTAGACTGACTGTTCTCTAATCAATTTTTGACTATAGTACTTTTTCCTCCCACCGAGGAGATGCAGCCTGAGGCTGGTAACCTTGCCCAGATGGTTGAGGACCTAACCAGGCCTGTGACCCCCCCATGCCCTGCTTGACCACCACCACATGCAGAGGACATAGAAGGCCAGGAACTGGACCCATCAGGAACTGGAGCATTTGTTCCTCCAGAGCTATCCAGATGAAGAACAAAGACACAGAAAACAAGGATCCACAAGACCTAAACACAAAAGCCAAAGGTAGCTGTGTGGGCCACAGTTAAGGGAGAGTTAAGCTGAGAGCCAAGACTCTCCACAGTATGATGGTGCTACCAGAATACCACACTCGAGTCAGCCTGGCCCCAAAGCCTCCCACCACGACAAACAGACACCAGGTGTCCCTGTTCCATAGATCACCATGGCAATAACATTCTCAGAGTGGCTTCGGTCCACAGACGTCCACTATGGCAAGCCGAACCGGTACCTCTTACTCTTGTCAGAATAGGGGACAGGAAGAGGGTCTGAGTACATATGTGCCCCTTACCTTTCCATTTTCCAGATGGATCAATCCCCAGACACCAGAAATAGATACAAACAGAAAAGAGACAAACAGACAATTACTCTGGAGGTCTCCTGAGCAACTCTAAACTCCGAAATGATTTAGTGGCATGTCTATTGTCCACGATCCTGGCTGTCAGAGTGGTAGAAGAGCCCTTGGGCCCTGAGAGAAATCGCAAGTGGCGGCTGTCCTATGGAGACTCCAGTCTCTGGCAGCTGGCATTTCTGAGGCCATTTGCCAGTGTGGCTCCAAGAAACCCAAGTGTCTCTCTTGGCACAAGGGTCTCCCCCGGACAAGCTCTCAAACCTTGTAAGGGAACTCAGTCATGAGAAACAGAGAAGTCACCACTGAAGAGGCCAAATTAGGAGTCTTCACTGGAAAGCCAGAGGACTGTTGCTAGAGTCTTGTCTCAAAGACCAGGAACCCCTAATGCAGCTAGCACAAAGTGTGTATAGGCAAAAATCGCGGAAGGATTTTGTGAGGAATTAAACCTAATAAAATGTTATACATAAGCAAAGAAAACCAAATGAGGACACATAAACCTAATAGAAGTAATAAATAAAAGTAAACCACCTAGGGAAACAATGAGGAGAAATCAAGGGCCAGTATCTAGGGGAATCATTGACCCAGTCTCCTTACTTAATAGAGTAGCTAGGATAACAGGCAGGAGACACCCGTTCCCAGTTCCCTTGATCTTCCTCACTTCTGTCTGGGTTGAGGACTTTCCTGGTGGCTTTGCTATGCAAATGCTTTTCTACTACTTGGACTAGGCCTTCTTTTCTTTTCTTTTTTATTGTGAAAATTCTGTACAGAGGGGTTACAATTACATGGGCAAGATAATGAGTACATTTCTTATCAAGCATTGTAGCCTCCTCCTTTGTTTCCCCTTCCCAACCCTTCCCATCCTCCCCCCCGCCCCCCCACCCAATCCTCCCCGCTGCCCCCCCCCACCAAAGTTGTAAAGTTCGTTTTTGACATAACCACTTGTATATATCATTGCTGCAATGGATCCACCTGTATCCCTATTTAAATGATTTGTTTTTCCCCTTCCCCTCTATAAATTATACCCACATGAAATACAGTGAAAGCAGGGGTTATACTGTGGGGGAGGGACATACAAAGCAACAAAGAAATCATCTTATAAATGTGTTAGAAACAAACGCATGAAAGAAAAAAATCATTTAAATACATATCTTAGGGTTCATTTTCCTAACATCACCTTATCTGACCTTTTCTGCTTGTCCTAGACATATACTAGTTATTGCAAATAAGGGAAACCATGGGACCTATGTTTCTTTGGGCCTGGCTTACTTCACTTCATATAATTTTTTCCAAGTCTTTCCACTTCCTA